ATTCATCTTTCATTTAATTTCGTCTTTTGGAGTACTATGTGTTTCTTGTAAGAATGTTATGTCAAAGTGATTATCACGAATCCATGTAAATATTTTCTGTCTTTTTATTGCGTCTCTCAAACCCCTAACATTCACAGAAGCTAATTTTAAAGGGAATTTAAAATCTTTAGGGATTGAGTTTTTATTTTTTCTGTTGTTTTTATAAATAATTCAGTGTCTATATTTGTTTTTTGTAATGTCACGTTGAATATGCAGTTGTAGAGATATGTTTGTGCAAAATGCATGTGTATAGCCTGGTATATATATAGAAAATAATGAAAGTATCGAAACTAAATTTCGTCATTAGCATGATTGATTGTGAGCTCTGATGAATATACCATTAGTTAATGGTTAACAATGAATTAAGCGATAGTTGAATGAATTTTGTGTTTCAAAATATTGTATATGTATACTTATGCTAGCATTAACTAAATATACATATTAATATATCTAGAACTATACATATATCTTTGATTTAACAACATAATTGTAACTATTTAAAAAGTCTATATTGGTTACCAAAGATTTAATGTCGAGCTCTGTTCGTGGATGCTGCAATTCCTTCTTGTATATTGTCGTAGAGTTCGAAGGAGTATCGTTTTCCCAGTGTGCTTCTTGCATAAACCTTTCCATTGAAGTACCATGCACTGTCTATATCAGAGTTGTTCTTCAGCCTATTTATGAGTTCAGAATTCCGTTTTGTCACATCGTCAAATATATTTAGTCCTTTACCTTTAAATCTTTGTCTGTTCTTCATAACATCTGTTTTTGTATCAGTTTGGAGAAATTTTATCACTATTGGTCTTGGAAGATTAGGTTTGCTGGGTGGTATTCTGTGTATTGCTACTATTTGGTTATCAGGTATATTCATACTGGCACATTCTAAAATCGTTTCTTAGATTTTCGTTTTCGTTTTCTTTCATACCCAGTAGTTTGATGTTTCGTTTCCTAGAATACTGCTCATTTCTATTCCCCAATATTACTGCGGCTCTTACTTCGTTGTCCAAGTTGTCTTGTCTTTTGGCAAAGTTTAGCATTTCATCTTTAAGTTTGTCTCTCTCTGATACCAATGCTTTAACTTTATTCTTTTCAACTGTAAGTTCTTGTTTAAGAATATCCAACTCAGCTGTCAGCTCTGCCTTAATATCCGTCTTTATTTGGTTTCGAATGTCTTTCCAGAAATTTGTTAGTGTTTTATCGAGGGAACTAGTGGTTACAATATTTTTCAATCTATCTTAGATGCCATCAAGTGTTGTTTGTATATTGGTGATGTCTGTGTGGAACACTTCATCGCTTGATGCACTGGAAAGGCAAGCATGTTGCCTCTTTAAAGGTTGTCTATCAGTTTTAAGTTTATCTCCANTCATCATGTGTGAAATGTATTGGCTGTACAGGTAATGAGTAATAAATGCAGGCCGGTGTAAGTCTTGAGTTGAGTTTAACTTCAGTATCACAGTGCGTACAGGT